AGCCACTGAAGGTGTTCTAAAACAGCAGATTTGTCCTACTTAGAGGTTTCTCTTGCAACTCTGCTGATTCTAAGGTTGCTGACCTGAGGCTTAGTGTTGTGTGTTACTTAAGTAATGATTTATCATTGGATGTCACTTGCTGTTCCTCTGCAGTCTTATTGGTTGATTACACCGCATGGTTTAATTAGGTATTCACGAGCACATATCAGTCAGGCTTTTAGCAAAGCTCCTTATCTGTACTCCTGATTCCCAAATGGTATTCAGGAGTCAATCTGCTGCTACTCTTAAAATCAAATGGAACAGGCTGCTATACTCAACTGTTACTCGGCTTTACATTCGGTAAAACGCCTGAAGCTCTGGAGCATAGCTTTTAAAAAAAAAAAAATTACAATGTGATGCTAATTTTGGTCTTGATGACCCTTCCCTGCAAAGTTCAGCTGCCTGGCCTGCTCCGGTGACACCCGGCGCTCAGGGGCAGTGCATGCTTCCCGCCCTGAGTGACGGCGGACACTGGTTCTTTGATCATCTCGCTGCTCGCTGGCGGTGACAAGGACGTGCACTAGCTGGGTGAACTTTAAGGACATTCGCACAGAACTTTCGAAACTCTCACAGTAACAGTCATTTTTGCTAATTTAATGGTTGTCATTCTGCTCTTCCTATTAAAAGCATGTTTTTACTGCTTTATAGTTTACAAAACATTTTCACGTATATTACTGTAATGGCTAACATTTATGGGACATTTAGTATGTGCCAGGTACTGTGCTAAACACTTAATAGGCATTATTTCACAGAATCATTAAACCAAGCCTATGCTACAAGTACTATTACTATCTTTTATAGAAGATAAAACAGAGGCTTACAAAACCCCAGAAACCTGCCCACAGCCACACGGCCACTAACACGTGAGCCATCATCCAAACCCAGGCTCTCTGCCTTCATCAGCTAGACTCAACCACTGCATGACACCTGGTCTCTTCCTCTCAATGACCTTCTCTGGGCCTTAGTGACGCCAGCTGACGGACTTAAGACTACCAGCCAATGCTTTGTACCACCAGGACTTGAACCGAAGCCATCAAAGCTAAGTCGGTGCTCTTCCACCACGCCACCCTGTCCCGTAATTTAATCCCCCTGCATTGCCCCTGTCGGGGGTCCTGACAGCAGACTATGACGGCGCAGGAGGGAAAGAGGAGAGAAGGGCTGCTGGAGGGGCACAGGCACAGAGTGCCGCCCGCCCGCAGGTTCTCTCTCTCTCCATCTGAAGCCAAAAGGGAAACAGAGGAAAGCACACCCATTTAGATGTGGAGCGAAAAAAGCGAAACTAAATATTACTCTGGCTACAGTAATCTAAGGCAGCTGTATAATCTGTTCGTTAGGAGGCAGAGAAACAGTTCAAAGCATGAGTGACAGGAAAGTAGTAACACAGGATTAAACAAGAACATGTGTTCAAATATTTAAAGAACATCAAAATCCTAACATGTGAAAACCAAGAATAAAAATGAACACAAATACGTTAACGTATCTTTCTTTCATAAGAGACTAGAATATGGAGAAGCACAAAAAGCAATTCTTAGCCCTGAAAGCTCTAGAACACAATCCCACAAGGAGAGAAGAACCTCCACAAACCAGTCCACCTTGGTTGTAAAAGTACCCATTTACATAAGACAGATTTTAAAATCTAATCTTGCACACTTTACCACCCACCCGCTGCTGCTGAGTTGATTCCGACCCCTAGTGACCCTACAGGGCAGAGGAGAACTGCTCCATAGGGCTTCCCAGGCTGAAATCTTTACGGGAACAGACTGCCACATCTTTCTCCCAAGAGCAGCTGGTGGGTTTGAACCTCCGAGCGCTTAACCACTGCACCACCAGGGCTCCTTCAATCCTGCATAGGTCTAGAAAATAGATTAATAACCTAAATCAATTGCTTTGAAGTTATTAAAAACCTTTCTCCAAAAAATTATGAATATCAAAGTCCAATAAAATCCTGCATGAGCACTAGAAATAATTTATGTTTGGAAACTCAGTTCTGAAAGAAAGTTATGTTAGAGAGATTTCTCGCAAACCTCTCTTCCTCATCAACCTATTATTTCAGCTCTAACTCAAGTCATGTACTAGTTCCTGGATCTCTACTTCTTTCTTTGGCGACATTCTCAAGAATTTGAATAAATATTAGGCTTCATGGGACAGTAAATTCAATATAAAGTCTTTAACAATTCCTAATTTATTTTTCAACCAATATTTGTAAATGGAAGTTGAAAGTAAAGCTGTTTTTTTTTTTTTTTTTTTTTTTTGAACGCTGCCACATACTCGAGTCCCAGTCGAGGCAGTTTAAATGGAACACCACTTCAAAAGCAAAATTCATTAATGACGAACGTGTCAAGTGAAATTAGAAATTCACTAAGCTAACTGGATACATTCTGAATGTACTGCACTTCTGAAGATATCTTTATGAACCCTACGCAATTTCCTACTCATAACCATGCACGGCTACACTTTGGATGTACCCAAGATTTGACACAATATAGGTTATTATGCTTAATAATGTTCGATCTCTTAGGGAGACTGCAAAGTCAAAAGAAATGAGAAACCTAGAGTGTGAAAACACCATTTCTCAAAGGAAGGGAAAATGAAACATAAAAAGCATTAACAGTACAGATACAGTAAACATGGTTTTTTTTTTTTCAAGTACAAGAATTACAGATAGACAGTCCCAGGATAGAGTGAGAGAAAAAAGTAGAACAAAATTCAAATTCACAAAAAAAGACAAGACTTACTGGTCTGACAGGGACTGGAGGAACCCCCGTGACTATGGCCCCCGGACACCCTGCTAACTCAGAACTGAAACCACTCCCAAAGCCCATTTTTCAGACAAAGATTAGACAGGCCTGTAAAACAAACAATAATACAGGTGAGGAACATGCTTCTTAGTTCAATCAAATATACCAGACCAAATGGACAACTCCTGCCTAAAAGCAAGATGAGAAAGCAGGAAGAGACAGGTAAACTGGATGAATGGACGTGGGGAACCTGGGGTGGAAAGGGGGAGAGCTCCGTCATATTGCGGGGACTGCAACTGACTTCACAAAACAATGTGTATACATTTTTTAATGGGAAACTAATTTGAGCTGTAAACTTTCACCTAAAGCACAATTAAAAGAGAAAAAAAAAAAGAATTATAGAGCCGCACGGTCACCATAAAAATGTACAAAAACTGGAATTGGTGAGCCTACGGAAAACACAAACAATTCACGGACACTTGGGCAACACCCCAAGTCTGTAAGATCAGTGTCAGTGGGACGGTGCCGTCAGTTCACATACAGTCTCCTGGTGCCCCGTCAGGGGCAGAACACCGGGCCTCATGGAAGAGGGTCTGGTGAGCAACACCACTGTTCTTAGGAATCCAGTCGACAGCAGAGCAGAAAGAACCCCGCAGGTTTTATAGGTCTGGATGTCAACATCAGGTGCTGACAGAAAAGGAAATAAGGTCCTCAAACTCCTTGTCTTAACACTACAGACGGCCATTAGACATAGACAAGTACAGTCTATAAAATCACCAAGGCATCATACATGCGTTCAGACAACTCAGAAAGGTAACAGCACACAATAAGGCACTGTTCTTATCCCAGGGTCACTGATGCACCAACTTCTGCAATGATAAACAAGCACACGGTGTTCACCACAACTACGAAAAGGAAATACCACAACATCCCTTACAGAGACAGAAACAACTTCATAGCTTCATCTCAGGAATATTCTGCTGAGGGTGGTGACTGACCACAAAGCAAGGTGGGGTTAGGAATGTTCCAGCACAAACGTGTACACTGGGCTGGTCTCCTGGCTTCATCTCTGTTCTCTCTGTGCACTGGGGTGTGGGGTGCGAGGGAAGGAGGGAGGGCTGCAAGGCTATCTGCTTCACCCCTGAGCTTTTCTCCCACTTCACACGCACCTCTGGCCTGTTTATCTGGGTCTGACGTGTATGTAGCCTCCACAGAGGAGATGTTCAAGGCCAAAGACAACATGTGAAGCCTCTGTTCACCCCTCAAAGAAGGCGACAGATACACAGTCCTCGTTGGGTGAGGAGGCAGGTAAAAAGCCAAATGCCAATTTTCTTAAATGCAATGAGGACTTTCCCTGTTGCACAAGATACAAGATGTTTCCAAAGCAAAAACAGGAATTTTTGCCCATCTTCCCCAACAGCAGCTCAATTAAAAACAGGCCCATCCGATTTGCACAGGTTTCCTTAACTGCTTGGTTCCTGTCACGCTGCAGACAGCAGGAAAGCACTTCACGACAGCCACAAGGCGACTTTCCAGTACGACCTGTTAATCTTTATGCAGTCATTCTCATGCAGCCATCAAAGCGAACTTAGTGACACATCAGTTAAAATAAATTAGTTATAGGAACTTGTAAGGATCGGATAAAAAGCAAACCATATGTGACATCTCTTCGGTTCTCTCCGTGACAGCATATAATTGTCCCCATCTGTGCTATTTATTCCCTTTGCCCTGGCTGCCTGCCCCTCACCCCACAGATCCACTCTGCCCTTCTCTGTCCTTTCTGGGCCCCAGGAGGCTGACCTCGATGGACCATGTGACTGTATTTGCATCAGCTGTGGTCTTGATCTTGGGCTTCCAGCTGGCTCAGTCAATGGAATGCACCAGAAGAGACCAGAGAATGGGTGGAGGGAGACTCATGTACTTATCCCCCCAACCCTCAAAGCTCTTGCAGCCAGGCAGCCCTTCTTCCTGGGCTCCAGCTCAGGTGTCACTGCCCCCTCCCCCTCCCTCCAGGTCCACATGTGGCTGCAGCTTCCTGATGCTGCTAGTCCCTGGGTGCTTCACCAGCCCTTGCTGCTTCCCTGGACCTATCCACACCTCTATAAGCAATCCCTTAATTCGACTCTCTTAAGTCTAAGCCCTTGTGAGGGGCCACCTGTTGCTGGCTGGGACCCTGGCTGACACACTGTTGGTGGCCAGAGGCTCCCAGCTGGGGTCACTTACATGTACCGTGTGTAGAAGATCGGCCATGAGACACTGCTTCAGCTTCTCATCGTTGCTGGTTCCATGAAGCACCAGATCAGGCATGTACGTGGGGCAGTAGCCTGCCAAAAGTGACCGGCCGAAGTTTCTTACACTCTGGTTGCTGAAGCTCTGAGACCTAAAACAATATGTGTAGGTAACCATGACTCCCTTCTGGTAGACGCCAACGACACAAGTAAACGAAGGAGATTCGGGGTGGCCCATGGCACTGAGCCTCCAGTAAAGGGATCATTGGTGCTGGTGGGGGAAAAGGAAGGAGCTTCAGAGAGGAAAGGGAGGTTTTTTGTTTTTTCAAATGGAAGGGCAAAAAAAAAAAAAAAGCATTCCCATGGCTGGTTACAGAGTGTGTCCTTGTACCTCGTCCTGAACACCCCCATACAGTCTGCGTCAATAGAATGAAGACAGAGAAAGTCTACTGAGGGGTCTCCTGCCCAAGCCTGGCTGCAGGAAGCTGACCAATCTGCACAGGGTGGTGCCCACCACAGAGCAGACGAGCAGGAGAAATAGCTAATTACTGTGTTCAGTCATCGCAGACCAAATAACTAGCCTAATGGAGCGTTAAGAAAGAGATGTTGCTTCCAAACCACTCCACGCTGCTCCGACTGGCGGAGACGAGCCGCACCCCCGGCAGCAAGGCATCTGCTGCCAGCCACGTCACTTCTGTACAGACGACAGAGAACTACACCCCTGTCCACACCACCACCTCCACCACATCCCGCAAGCTCCCCCGAATGTCGGAGCAGCCGCAAAGACCACGGCTCCTTGCTCTAACAACGCAGGGGCACTAAGCCAGTGACCATCCTTAGAAAAAGGGCCAGCTGCAAACCGATCTGTATTGATTTGTAACACTCCTAATGGTGCTGTTGTTAGCTGCTGTCAAGTTGACTCATGGCGAGCCCACGTGTGCAGAGTAGAACTGCTCCATAGAGCTCTCAAGGCCGTGACCTTTTGGAAGCAGGTTGCTAGGCCTTTCTTCCAAGGCACCTTTGGTGGGTTCCAACCACCAACCTTTTGGCTAGTAGTTGAGTGCTGGATCGTTTGTGCCCCCCAGGGACTCCTACACTTCTGACACTTTAACTGGAGGGAAAACAAAACAAAACAAAACACCTTGTGTGTAAAATGGCCAATGGCAGTGCTGGGTCACGATCACGGGTGAGGCCAGGAGGAAAGCAGGACTGGAACCCAGGTCCCTCTGCCTCCCAGCCTGCCTGTGTTACCTTGGCAGAGGCAGCTCCACCTCCAAGGACTCCTCAGTCCTGTCACTGCGGTGACCTAGACTCGGCGCGGCCGAAGCACAGGTGTCATCATCACTGTCTCCGAGAGCGCTATCTGAGCTTTCGTTTCTGGGAATGTCTCCTTCCATTCTGAAGTCCACCTTCCTGTCGGCGTCCCCACAGGGGACATCTGCAGCGACAGAGAAGCCAGAGTCCTGCTGTACACACCTGTTTGGAACAGGCTCCAACAAAGGTCCTTCCGCATCGTTCAAACACAAACCTTTAGTTTTCTCCAATGTGCTCTCTCCGGTTCCGGCAGCGGCGTCAGAGGACACAGACGAGTCGGCAGACTGGCTGAGCTGACCAGCAACACCCGCCACCACGTTAGTTCTGATGCCTCTGTCCTCAGCAAAACACCTGTCAAGTCTGTCTTTGTCCCGCTCAGAAGACTGATTCTGAGGACAGCAGGTATTCTTTCGAAAGCCAGGCTTAAAGGAGCACCCAGAAACGTGCTGATCCTGAGCCACGTCAGCGGTCGCCCTGGGTTGAGCCCAGGGACTACCAGCCAACTCTGGACACTGTCTACAGGCCTTTAGCTGCTCCTCCATCTTCTGTGCGCGACCTTCAAGGTCGGACTCTGGAGATACGGAGCTTCCAATCTGGAAAGTGACCCTTTCTAAGGCAGCCTTCTCCCGGGCACGTCTGTCGGGGCAAGGCCAGGCCGCTGACCGCTCTGACAGCTTCGTGGACATCTCCCCTTTCAACTCCTCATGGACAGTCTGTTGGCTGACTTCCAATCCTGCCCCCAGAACCTCAGAACTGGACAGTCTCAAACAGCCATCTCGCGGTGCCTCCTTCTCACACCCTTTGTCTCCACAAAACGTGCCTTGATGCTGCCAAGAGCTGCCCAAAGCTGGCTCCTGGAACCCCATGCTACAGGCCTCGGAGCTCTGCTCTGGCCTCCTGCTTTCCTCTTTGTCCAGACTGGGACACAGGTCTGTAATGGCAGTGCCCTCTGGGGTGCCAGCCGAGCCCATGGGCCCGGGGTTCCTTCTCTCGATCATGAATGGCAGGACGGGGGGTATGAGAGCAGGCTCATTTCTCACCGTGACGACCACATACTCAGACTCCTCCACCTCGCCTTTCTCCAGGGCTGTCGTGATCTTGCTCCCATTTAACACCTGGTCGCCTTCGCCATGATTCCCACTCCAGGTGAGCTGGTTCTCTTGTAGCTCAGAGCAACGCAGAAAGTAAGTCAGGACATAAAGTATGCGCTGGACCAAATCCTTCTGCTTCCCCACCACCACGGTGCGAGTCAGCCGCACTGGAGAGCCTATGGCTCCGTACAGATCACCTGGAGAGAGAGGTGAACACCAGGACAAAGTCCTCTGGGTTAGTGTGTTACGGACACGTCAGCCTGCACTAGAGAAAGACGAGACTTACATTACCAGACTAGAATTGCTTCTTCAGACACCTGATTGAAGCAAAGAGGTAATGTCCAGAATGATTCTGCTCTAGTTTTGCTTCTACAGGGGAAACTCCATCTGGACAGGCTGCAGCCCACCGTCCACGGTGTATGAGGCCGGCACTGCTGCGCACACAGCCCTGCTCAATGTTCTAGCTCTTCAGCCCACCAATGAAGGCAAAAGCCAGAGCCTTGAATACGTGACCAAATCAAATACAGTATCTTGGAAATAGAATGATGAGAATGTTAGAAGAATCCCAGGACAATGGGGCCTGGGGTACATTCCAAGTGGGGGATCTCTGAACAGAAGTTTAGGGAGTCCATTCGAAATACTCAGTGAGGGCCTGCACAGAATTCTCTCCACACACATAGCAAGTAGGATCAATTTCGTTAACAAGAAGTAAATCACTTAGTCATGAATAATGAATCTGAATGTTTTCTTTACATGCAAATTCTCCTGGAAAAAAAATATGTCCCATTAGTTATACTCTGAGAAACTGATTAAAAACTGGCTAACGAACCATCGGCAAGACATTTAGCGTAAGGGCAGAAGAAGGGCCAATGTGTAATTGAACCCAGACGTAGAAATTTTTCTTCAGAAGTGTTTGTTAAGTGCCAAATGGCTAAACCTATTGCTCTAGATAATTTGATCATTAAATTGATAATAAGTTATACATTTAAAACTTAATACTGACATTACAGCAATAAACCAACATTAACTGACTGTGCAGGCACCACGCTAAGTGTTTTACATGCATTTCTCTCATTTGCATCTTTGTAGAACCAACTGTATGAGTTAGAAATCGTTAAAGAGGTAACTAGAATGTTAGAATAAATCAAAGCCTGAAAGATACTAAAGGAGAGGAGGTCACATGGCAATAACTATAAATAAGAACTAAAGAAGCCAGAACATATCTGAGGAATGCATCTAGAGAAAGGAGAGAAGGAATTTTAAGGGCATATACTAAATAAAACTAATTAAAATTAATAGCGTAAGATTGTGAAAAAGGTTACAAGCACCATTAGGAAGTACTTCCCTCTGGAGAACCGTTAGAAAGTACTCCGTTTGGAGAGTATTCCCTACTATAAGGCTACTGTTTCTTAGAACAAGTAAAGGGTGGTGTTGTTGGGTGCTGTCAAGTTGGTTCTGACTCATAGTGACCCTATGTACAACAGAACGAAAACACTGCCCCGTCCTGCACCTTCCTCACATCCTTGATGCCTGAGCCCATTGTTGCAGCCACTGTATCAACCCATCTCATTGAGGGTCTTCTTTTTCACTGACCCTCTACTTTACCAAGCAAGATATCCTTCTCCAGGGACTGGTCCCTCCTGATAATATGTCCAAAGTATGAGATGAAGTCTTGCCATCCTTGCTTCCAAGGAGCATTTTGGCAGTACTTCCTCCAAGACAGATTCCTTCATTCTTCTGGCAGTTCATGATATTCTTCGCCAACAACATGATTTAAAGGTGTCAATTCTTCAGTCTTATTCATTTTCTAGCTTTCGCATGTATAGGAGGCAATTGAAAATACTATGGCTTGGGTCAGGCGCCCCTTAGTCCTCAAAGTAACATTTTTGCTTTTTAATACTTAAAAGAGACTTTTTCAGCAGATTTGCCCAATGCAACGCATTGCTTGATTCCTTGATGGCTGCTTCCATGGGTACTGGTTGTAGATCCAAGTAAAATGAAATCCTTCACAACTTCAATCTTGTCTCCATTTATCATGATGTTGCTTATCAGTCCAGTTGTGAGGATTTTTGTTTTCTTTATGTTGACATGTAATCCATACGGAAGGCTGTAGTCTTTGACTTTCATCAGTAAGCGCTTCAAATCCTCTTCACTTTCAAGCAAGGTTGGGTCATCTGCATATTGCAGGTTGTTAATGAGTCTTCCTCCAATCCTAATACCACATTCTTCTTAACAATGTCCGGCTTCTCAGATTATTTGCTCAGCATACAAACTGAGTAAGAATGGTGAAAGATGCCACCCTGATGCACACCTTTTCTGATTTTAAACCACACAGTATTCCCTTGTTCTGTTCGAATCACTGCCTGTTGGTCTACGTACAGGTTCCTCATGAGCACAATTAAGTGTTCTGGAATTCCCATTCTTCTCAATGTTATCCATAATTTGTTATGATCCACACAGTTGAATGCCTTTCCATAGCCAATAAAACACAGGTAAACATCTTTCTGGTATTCTCTGCTTTTTATCTGCCAAGATCCATCTGACATCAGCAATGATACCCCTCGTTCCACGTCCTCTTTGAATCCGGCTTGAATTTCTGGCAGTTCTCTGCCGATGTACTGTTGCAACCGTTTTTGAATTATCTTAAGCAAATTTTACTTGCATGTGATATTAATGATATTGTTCAACAATTTCCACATTCTGTTGGATCACCTTTCTTTGGAATGGGCAGAAATATAGATCTCTTCCAGTCGGTCGGCCAGGTAGCTGTCTTCTAAATTTCTGGGCACAGATGAGTGAGCACTTCCAGCGTTGCACCTGTTTGTTGAAATATCTCAGTTGGTATTCCATCAATCCCTGGAGCCTTGTTTCTCATCAATGCTTTCAGTGAAGATAGGAATTCTTCAGTATCTTCGGTTCTTAATCATATGCTGCCTCCTGAAATGGCTGAACGTCGACAACTTCTTTTTGGTACAGTAACTCTGTGTACTCCTTCCATCTCTTTTTGATGCTTCCTGCGTTGTTCAATATTTTGCCCATAGAATCCTTCACTATCGCAACTTGAGGCTTGAATTTTTTTTTTCAGTTCCCTCAGCTTGAGAAATGACGAGCGTGTTTTTCCCTTTTGGTTTTCTATCTCCAGCTCTTTGCACATTTCATTATACTTTACTGTCTTCTTGAGATGACTTTTGAAAATTTCTGTTCAGCTCCTTTACTTCATCATTTCTTCTGTTTGATTTAGCCACTCGATGTTCAAGAGAAAGTTTCAGAGTCTCTTCTAACATCCATTTTGGTCTTTTCTTTCTTTCCTGTCTTTTTAATGACCCTTTGCTCTCTTCATGTATGCTGTCCTTGATGTCATCCCACAACTCATCTGATCTTCAGTCATTAGTGTTCAATGCGTCCAATCTATTCTTGAGTTGTCTAAATTCAAGTGGATGTACTCAGGGTTGTACTTTGGCTCTACTGGACTTGCTTTTATTTTCTTTAGCTTGAACTCGAACTTGTGTATGAGCAATTAATGGACTGTTCCACAGTCGGCCCTGGCCTTGTTTTGACTGACGATATTGAGTTTCTCCATCATCTTTTTCCAAGACGTAGTTGATTGATCTGACCTCTGTGTACTCCACCCAGCAAGGTCCACGTGTATAGTCACCGTTTATGTTGGTCAAAAAAGGTATTCGTAATGAATAATTTGCTGGTCTTGTAAAATTTTATCATGTGATCTCTGGCGTCGTTTCTATCACCAGGGCCACATTTTTCAACTACCGAGCCTTCTTTGTTTCCAACTTTTGCATTCCAATCACCAGTAATTATCAGCACATCCTGATTGCATGTTCAATCAATTTCAGACTTCAGAAGTTGGTAAAAATCTTCAATTTCCTCATCTTTGGCATTAGTGGTCGGTGTGTAAATGTGAATAATACTTGTATTAATTGGTCTTCGTTGTCAGCGTACGGATATTATCCTATCACTGACAGCGTTGTACTTCAGGACAGATCTTGAAATGTTCTTTTTGACAGTGAATGCAAAGCCATTCCTCTTCAATTTGTTATTCCTGGCATAATAGATCATATGACTCTCTGATTCAAAATGGTCAATATCAGTCCATTTCAGCTTACTAATGCCCAGGATATTGATCTTCATTGTGTTCCATTTCATTTTTGACGACTTCCATTTTCATACTTCGTACATTCCACATTCTGATTATTAATGTATGTTGGCAGCTGTTTCTTCTCGTTTTGAGTTCTGCTACATCAGCAAATGAAGGTCCTGATAGCTTTACTCCATCCATGTCATTAAGGTCTACTCTACTTTGAGGAAGCAGCTCTTCCGCAGTCATATTTTGAGTGCCTTCCAACCTGAGGGGCTCATCTTCCAGACTATATCAGTCAATGTTCTGCTGATATCCATTACGCTTTCACTGGCCAATTTTTTCAGAAGTAGACCACCAGGTCCTTCTTCCTAGTCTATCTTAGCCTGGAAGCTCCACTGTAACCTGTCTACCATGTGTGACCCTTCTGGTATTCGAAATACTGGTGGCATAGCTTCTAACATCATAGCAACACGCAAGCCACCACAGTATGACAAACTGACAGACTAGTGGTAGAAGTAAAGGGTAGGACACAAATAATAAACAATTCTATGAAAAGATTAGCCTATAGGCTAATGAATCTTTACCTTAGAGGCTTTTGCTATTGACTGAGAAATCATCCAAGAATTCAAAGGGATAACTCAGAATTGTAGCCTGATGCTAGGACAAGTACTTTCTTGATTAAGAGTTTATTATTGTAGCTTTCCTTTGAATACTCTGTTCATTGCTGGAAGATATCACAGTCATTTAAGGAATTCATGAGGCATTTTTGTTAAGTCAGTCTCAATGTCAAAGAAGAGAAACATTACATATCTAAAATCTGGTATAATAAACCATAGAAGAAAGGCCACTCAGAATGACTATATATATATACACACATACATATATATATGAGCAATGTGTTTAACTTTACATTTCTAAGCATAAATGGAAAAAAGTAAACGAGGAACGTTATTAAAAATAATACAGAGGCGGCGCCAAGATGGCGGAGAAGTCAGATGCTTCCAGTGGACCCTCTTACAACAAAGACCCGAAAAAACAAGTGATTTGATTATATATGGCAATCTGGGAGCCCTGAACATCAAAGACAGAGTTGAGGAACTT